CTTACAAAATAAGTTCAGGAGGGTAATAGGACCTTAGTATAGTATAAGTGTGTCTCTGGAATTTCGGATATAGGTTGAGGGGGTACTTGTTCATTTTCCCTAGATAATAATCATACCTTTAATATAGGAACATATCTCTAATAAAAAGTATTAAAACGGGTTGAAATTGGAGATTGAATTGGGCTCAATTAAGAATTCTCTTCAAATGGGTTAAGCTTGAATGGGTTGGGATTGAACCCAATTGAAATTATCCTGAGTCCAACTCTTAAAATTCTGGGAGGCTTACCTACGTTTGGTTTCATTTTTGACACCCCTAGATTAGACCAATTGTGCGAAGTTACCGAAACATGAAGGACTTATTTTGGCAAATAAAAACTTATAAGACCTAATTGGTTCAATTAAGAAATGGAGGAGGAAATTTGTTATTTTTTAGAGTCGAAAATCATTTGAGTATATCTTTGAAATTAAAATGCATTTTTTTTTATTACGTAGTGTCACCATCTTTCTAATTAAAAAAATGATCATCTCTTAAATGTAGATTTTGATTGGGAGAGAGAAGAGGTGCGTGTATATATATTCATTTCTTAAATGTAGATGTTGATTAGGAAAGAGAAAAAAAAATCGTGAACCACGTTTTTTAACTATCGAGTTAAAAAACATATAATAAAGTCTCAACAATAAAAATTAAAATTAGCTTCTTCAATTTTAGAATCTCTAGAACATATCAACCACAACAATAAACAATAATGTATACAGTATTATTTCATTAATTGATCCTAAAAGAATAGAATATATGTGATAAAAGATCAAAATTTTAATATCATATTGAAGTGAGATCCAATTCCAGAGCTTTTGATTTATCTGATACCATATTGAAACGTGATCATCTCATTTGAAAACTTAAACTATCAGAGAAAACACATTTATATTAGTTAATTATATTATTAATATATAATACATCCTTAGCTTAAAAAAAATGTTTTATCCTTGATGAAGTTTTGTCTTCACTTATTTCTTCTAATATCAAAACTCTTTGATATAATTAAATCAGGTGTGGATTTAGAGATTAACCCACAGATTTATGTGAACTTAATCATTTCTATTTTTGTTTCAATACATACTAAGAAATTAGCTAAATATAAATATAAATATTTTGTGAAATCAATTATTTGTTGTAGTATTAATTTAAAAGATTAGAAAATCATAAATTTTAAATTATACAGCTCAAAATATTATACCCAACAAATCTTTTAAGTTGGTATCATGATTATGAAATTTAATAATCTCCTCTTGTAAAACACTTCCATTTGACCTGATTATTCTAATACTTATGATAAAAACATGACCTACTTAAATTATAATTTATTTATCCTACATGATTACATCCACTATATTAAAACCAAGGCTCCCCATACATGTATATTTCTTCTACTTGTAAAAAGAAAATAATTTCATTTTGATCTAAAGTTTTAAAATCAATCCAAAATGTCCACTAAAATTACTTATGTAGATCCATTTTACAATCTCTCTTACAATCAAATTATTTCTAAAAAATCCAACTCTTTATATTCAAGAAGATCATATATTCATTTTAACAAGATCAATAAACCTCTCAATTTCCTCATTTCCAATGCAAAAATTGGAATATTCATGTAATTTTTAATTTTCTTCACTCTTTTTTTTTCCTCAAAAATTTATTAACATATCATGTATACATATTTTTTTTTCTTCTTATAGTGTTAGGTGCAATTCAGCCAATAGTATTGGATCTGATGCTTCACCTCCTGGAAACTCTTCATCTTTAGGATGGTAATAATTTCTTATTTTATTTTCTTGTACAAAAAGAAAAGAAAAGAAGAATTAAAGTAAATAGCCGGTGAATATCTATTGTATATATTGATTAAGAAAAATAAACAGTGAATCTGATCGACTATTTGTATATAAATATTAATTGGTTTTGTGAGGTATCATTTTTTAAAGTGGATGTTATATGCAGGAAAAAATGGTTGTTGGGATTTCTTCTTCCTATGTTACTACCTGCATTCAAGAACAAAGTCAGCCCTTTACAACTACTCAAAAGTAAGTAAAAAATATTTCTTCTTTCAAGTATGATATATTCAAATATCATAATGTTGATAAGCTGAATTAAGTTATATACGCCGTGACTGTAAAAGAAATTTTATATCTTCAAGTCATCAAAAGATAATTACAGATAAACCTGTTTAAAATATGAGATTTATAATCTTCAAGATAAGATATCTGATACAATCACAAGGGGAGACAAGTGGGTGCCCTTTGAGGACATCATGATATAAATATTGAAGGCTAAAACCGTCTTTTATGTATATATATAATATACGTTGAATTCTCTTGACTTATTTACTTCGTGTTTTTGACTTTTCGTAGTAAAAATTTGGATTTTGCTACCAGATACAACAAATAAAGAGCCTGGTGTAAAAATTTATAGAACTAACGATATATATATAACTTAAATTCACGAAAAAATATTGATTTTATGTTTGAAAGGTAATGTGGATAAAGCAATAGAAACAGTGGAAACTATGAGTGAGATAGTGGAAGAGGTAGCTGAGGAAGTAGAAAAGATTGCTGAAGAAGTTGAAAAGAAACTTCCTGGGGATTCTAAGCTAAAAGAAAGTCTTGATTCAATAGAAAATTTAGCTCAAGGGGCTGTCAAATATGCCAACCAAGCTCAAGATCTCATTCACAAGGTCAGTATCGAGACGAATTCAGAATTTCAAGTTTATACTTTTTATAATAATTTATATCAATTGATAACTAACTTCAAATTTTAATATTTAATGAATATTTCATACACTGTTCTCTAGATCCACAATTCCTATCCTATAATTCCCTTTTAGAATTTTTGCACTAAGATGAATTTAGAGAGGCATTGCATGAAGAGACACTTCACATTTTACTATATCAAAAATACTTTTTTGCTCAATAAATTAATAGCAATTGTTTAATTGTCATTAAATATGTCATTTTAAAGACAATCAGCACTCTTTGTAAATATCCTTTAAATATATAGCGGCACTAGATTCAGTGTCAGCTAACAAATGCCGATAAAATATTTAACAGACTTTATTAATGTATATGTTTATTGCCACTAAAATTGTTATGACATTCGTACTTTAAACTCAAGAATAATAATTAACTTTAATAGCTGATCTGATTAAGCTAATAATTAGATTGTAATTATAAGTTAAATAATAATGATATATAAATTAATTTTATAATGTCTATATATATATATATATATATATATATATATATATATATATATTATTATTATTA